GGTGCATAAAATTGTGGTGTGTCTTACATTGCCTCTTACATGCAATGAAGCAGGGCATTATCATCATCTATTAATGAGAAAATTCAGAGAGGTCAAGCAAGTTCCCCAATGTCACATATCTACTAGCCGGCAGTGCTAGGATTCAAACACCTGGCTGGGTGAATCTAGAGTTGGTGAACCCCTCCCCCAGTATTCTAGGTTTAGAGAAAGAACAACAGCCTTGCACCAAGGTCTCCTAAGGCCAGGAGCGAGCTGGATCTTAAAGGACTATTCCAGAAGGACTAGCTGAGAAAAGTCTCCCTGTCTCGAAGCAAAACAGAAACTTCTGGTATTGACCCTGGTCCCCGAGCCCAGGGTAGTCCCACCTCTACCTCTGTTGTGATTTTGAAACTAAAAGCTTGGTCCTTGTCCTTGTGGCAATCCAATAATGAGGACAAGGTTTTGAGAAAAAGGAAAAAAGTTTTATTGCTTTGCTAACAAAGGAGCACACACAGGGGACTATAAAGGCTCCAGGTGAGCCCCTTCAGGAGTCATTATTCACCTGTAGCCTTTCTTAGATCCGCAGTGCCAGCTCCAAGTCTGGATTCCCTCATTCCTGTGGTCAGTGAGCCACAGACCAGATCCCTCTCCATGGGACAGGAAGGTGAATCTTGCTTCCCCACCTCCCGCTGTGGTTAGGGAGGGGGAGAGGAAGGAAAGGAAGGGAAAACATGTCAGTTTTAAAATAAACAGAGCAGCAAGCATGAAGTGAACCACTGTTATGGTTTCAGGTTATGAAGCCCTGAAAGGTCCAAAGGACATCAGCGGATTTGAAGGTGACACTGTGTCCCTGAAGTGCACATACAGGAAAGAAGAGAGGGAGCGCAAGAAGTACTGGTGCAAGCAGATCGGGTTCCTGGTCCACCGTTGCTCCAGCACCATCTACTCAGGAGAAGACGGCCAAGTGATAACGCAGGGCAGAGTGTCCATCTGCGACAACCCCCAAGAGCTGGCATTCACTGTGACCCTGAGGGATCTCACCCTGCAGGATGCCGGGAAGTACTGGTGTGGGGCCGATAAACTGGGCTTTGATGAGACTTTCCTGGTCTCTCTGACCGTCTTTCCAGGTAACAAACTCCTCTCTTTGCCCAGCCTGGGGAACCAGAGATGCAGAGGGGGAACAGAAGCCCAGGGGCTGGGCTGTGGCTCAGGGGTACAGGGCTTGCCTTGCACGGGTGAGGCACTGGGTTTGATCCTCAGCACCACATAAAAATAAATAAACAAAATAAAGGTCATTAGCAATGAATCCACTTTCCCCATTACAAAAGTGGGGTGCGGTCCATCCTGGAATCAGCCTCATCAGTCACCTGAAGGACTCAGGGACATCATTCTGATCAAGTTCCGAGTTGCAGTGGGGTCTCAATGTCTTTCTTCTCTGCCTAGATATCCTGAAAGGAGATGGCTATGGTCTGGGGACAAGATGGTCATCCCAAAGAATAGCAAGACCTTCCCCTCCCCAACCTTCCCCTGGTGTCAGAGATATTCCTGCAGCCTCCTGAGACTGAGCCGCCATCGCTGCGTCCCAGACCCAACCCATGGCATCACCTAAGCTGCGCCATGCTGGCTCCTCCCAGCTTGAGGGCTCAGCTCCCAGCTTGGCCTCCTCTTTCCCAGATTTTCAGAGACAGATGCTAGATGTGCCTGGGAACCAGTCCTGGGTCAGATGCCTGAAAGAGGAACTCTTTGAGCTTGAGGCCATTAGGGAGCCGTGGTTGGAGCCATAGATATGGAGCACCTCTCTCAGGGCCAAGAATCTCACCTGGAGCTGCTGGTCAGAGAGAAAAGAAGCCAGAGAGGGCTCAGGGCC